CCAATGATCCAACTTGTCCAGTTATTCCAAACCCCGGCTCTCACAGAGTTATGGTGTCTGCTTCCCTGCTCCCAATGATCCCCCTTTTTCCCATCCAACAGTTTGCAGTCTTAGTTTAGGTGTGAGCTGACACCACAAGACCAAGAGCAGGGAAGTCAATCGCAGTTGGAAAGCGGTGGGTACAGTCACTAACTAGTTAGTTACCCCATACACACATAAAAAAAAACAGCAGAGTGCTTATGCGGCAGCCTCGGACTCAGCAGGGGCTGCAGATGCTGGACTCTGATATTCATAGTACATGCCAGAGTAGTATGAAACTGTCCACCACCCATGGCCGCTTTTGTTTCAGCTTCCAACAGATGATATCTGTCGCAACAATGACCTCCGAGCCATCACTGGCACAGAGCAGACTGGAGCAACTACCTGCGAACCCGTTGTGTCCTCGGCAGGTTAATAGCCATTATTGCCTGTGATATTGCATCACCTTTACTCGCCTAGTGGAACAAGCTAAAGAAGGTTGATCTAGAACGTCTCGGGACAACAGAAGAAAATAATGGGGCTTCTCAACGAGTTTAGTTACCTATATGTGCGGCACGATATTACGTTCTTCAGGAGGCGCCATCGTCAACTACATAACGAACTACTCCGCACACAGCGTGCGAATAGCATCGTGTTGGATCGTCGCTGTCTACGGATGCGGGGATCAAATCAGAGGTCTGAAGCAAGCAGAACAGCGATCGACTATCAATCCATCACCACCATCATCACTTGCAGTAGGACGCTTCGGGGTTTACCAGGGCTCGTATCCCCTTGGCTGCCGTTCAAAGACGCACCATGACGGTCCCCACTCGTGTTTCCTCCCGCCCATCACCATCATCAGCATCTTCCCCAAGACCAGCTTCCCCAGCGCAGTGCAACCTTGCAGGGGGTGTTTTGATGCTATAATTATTCATACTCGCTTTCCGGCCACGCCTTTGCTTACACGACCACGACGGGGCAGAGGGAGCTCGTCGTACCAGTACACTCACCTGGACCATGGGAGCATGATACAGACCTACCCTTGAAGCCCATCTAGGCTGGCCCTTTCTTTCTTTCTTTCGCCCAATTCCCATGTCTGGAATAGTGCATGTACGTATGTAGATGCTTTTGGTCGCTCCGCTCGCTGTGTCCCCGAACTACAATTGCAAGGGATGCCGTCGTATCTCCAGATCGACCCGTCGAGGAGTGGAGGAGGATGAACGGGTACTTTTTTTTGACTGTGGAATCACCCTTTTCTGAACCCTGCCACAAGAGGAAGACAGACTGACCAGGGTTCGTCAGGATACAGACGGGTTCTGCTCACGCTGACTTACTTGCACTGCCATGTTTAACTTTCCAGGATGCGATCGGGCGCGGTGGAAGAGTGCTGAGTTGGTTAGTGGCATCCTTGCCTGCCAGGGGTAAGTACTTTAGAAGTGGGAAAGTGAGAGGAATTCTTATCCACGCCATTTTCATATGGGCCAGGCGGCTGAGCGGGAGGTCCGTCCAACAGCAGCAGATAGAGGGGGGAGGAGAAAAGCGAAGGGCCATGCGGTTCGTTATAATAGTTAATACCAACGACTCCGGGCCCCAACTGGCTACGTACTTATCTCGTTGTACTCCGTGCCTGGAAAAATAGTTGCTTCTGCCGGACCAATTGTTTGCTCCGGTTTCCATGTAGGTCCTTACAGGTGGAATGATAGGAGTACGTACCGTAGCGCGGGATTCGTTTCCTCGTCTGCATATGCGTGTGTGCGTCTCCGAGCGTATGTAGGATGGTAATAATAGTAAAAGGAATAAGAATAACAACTACGTGAGCCGCACTTTCTGCTCCCCGTTCTTCGTGGAGGTGCAGGGCAGATTGATCATTCATCTTCATCCGACTCGGCCTACTGGTTCAGCAGTGGAATGATCGAGCTGGTCTAAAGGAAGATGGTGGATCTTGGGCGTCCAACGGCCGATGTGCCTAGTCGGGGATACCAGCTGTGGGTGACGGACGTGGTTGTTGTGATTGTTGCTGGCGTCTTTGTGGCTATCCGTCTGGTCTCGAGATATCTGAGGAGCGGAATCCAGGTCGACGACTGGACTATTCTGGCAGCTCTGGTATGTTGGCCTGTATTGTGTTTCTCCAGTGTCCTTTCTCTGCTAACATGTTGCAGGTGCTGTCGGTGCTGTTCTCGACAACGCAGAATGTCGGTATGTTGCGTTATAACCTGGCCTGGACGTCTATATCAAGGTGACTGACATGTCTGCAGCCGTTGGGTATGGATTCGGCAAACATGATTGGGATATAACCGACGAGCAGGAGAAGAAGTCTCTCAAGGTAAGCATCCATATCATCATCATCACCATCATCATCACCTTCAACAGCAGCCAGAATGCAGCTCTTGCTAACGGGTCTGGTCTGGCAGTGGATTCTGGTCGCTCAAGTGCTATACAAGCTGGTGATTTGTCTGGCTAAGGTGTCCATCCTGCTGCTGTACTTGAGGATCTTCTACGTGCACCAGTACTTCAGGCGGATATGCATCTGCCTGGTCGTGTTCACCATTCTCTCGGGCATTGCCTTCATCCCGCCGACGATCTGGCAATGCTCGCCCGTGGAGGCTTACTGGGACAGGTCGATTCCACACACCTGCCTGAGCAGCTTTCCCAACTGGCTCTCGTATGCGATAATCAACATCACGACAGATGTGATACTGCTGGTTCTGCCAGTGCAGCAGATTCTGCGTCTGCAGCTGACGAAGCGAGACAAGATTGCCCTGGTACTGGTGTTCCTTCTGGGATCATTGTAAGTAGCCCAGTTGGCTGTTGATAGCCGTTGACAGAGCAGGACTGACAAGGAGACAGCGTGTGTATAACCAGTATCTACCGGGTGACTTTGGTCGCAACATCTTCCGGCACCACAGACGTGACATGTAGGTATTCCTGACATGGTTTTCAAGGGAGGACATTCGGGCTAACAACTGGGGCAGGGGCAACGACGCCGATATCGAGCTGGAGTGCGGTGGAGGTCAACTCGGGCATCATCTGCGCCTGTCTACCGATGGCCCGGCAGACGCTCTCGCACGTCTTCTCATGCTGCCTGCCTCCGCAGACCACGAAGAACTCGTCCATCTCGCCATCTCAGGGCTACAACAACAACTCGGCGCACTTCTCTCGCATCTCACGGGGCAGCAAACCGGTCTCTGGCTCTGGACTCAACCGCACCGGACACCCGTGGGAGTACCACCCACGCATCCATGACGGGGTGGTGCTGACATCGATCCAGTCAGACAGACACCGGCACCTCCGTCGCTCGGACAGCGAGGAGGAGATGCTAGGACAGGATTGCTATCTGGGTAACGGCGGCGGGATAGTCAAGCGGACGGATGTGTCTATAATCGAGCACTCAAGGGCAGGCTAGCGGCCAGCTGCAGCAGCTCATAAGCTGTTTTAATATGCAACTTGCACTTCTTTTCCGACAGAGCAGATCCAGACCCAGACCCAGATCCAGATCCAGAGGCAGACGGCTGCCTGCAAGATGTACGGAGTAACAGAACATCCTCCATTATTCAATTCCTTCAATTCCCCGACGGACGAGGGCGGACGAGGCGCGGGAGGATGCATCTTGACCCTGGGATGGGCTCACCGGGGGTGGGAACCAGCCAGATATAGGTCAACGCCCGGCCAGAACCAGCGAATATCGACGGAAACAGACCCAACAGCGGTCCGGGAGTGACCAACGGAGTCTCCAGGTCTCCATCCAGACGCGGAGGCGACGAAGCTGCTGGAGCCTGACAGCAATATCAGACAGCCGCCCATCCCCAGGTCGTATAAGCTGAGAGAATAGAGAGAGGAGAGGTCAAAAGGCCAACTGGGAGGTCGTAGGAGGACTGAGAGGGAGAAGCCGGCCTTCTCGACGCTGAGATAGACGTAATAGAACCCTTTAATGACACCCTGTATATCGAGATTCTGTACAATATCATCGCCGTCTCTTGAGTGTGTCTTCCCCCCCTGAGCCGTAGAAAGCGACTGCCTGGCCACCCGCAACCGCGATCCTGCGTCTTCCGCTGCCCCGAGTCGACCTGCAGCGTCGTCTCTGCCGCCCCCGAGAAGCGTCTCTGGCTTGATCTGGCCTGGCGCTGGCTCGCGGTTCACTCTCTGCTGCCGTTCCGTGGTTGACCTGGCCTGAACCGAACCGCCGTCTGCGTCTCGTCCCTGTCGGCCCCCAATAACCCCCAACGACGGCCAGCTTATTCACGATCCCTGCGTCGAAAACGCTCATTCTGCTCTAATTCCTCTCCTTCGTCTTCGTCTTCGTCTTCGTCTGTCATTTTCGTCTTGTCTTCTGGCCTGTCGTGTCTCTCATTAAGTCTCGCCCGTCTCCCACTTTCCAGCGTCGTCGTCGTCGTCACCTCCAGCATCACCACCAGCAGCAACATCACAACATCCAGGCCTGCTGAGCCCCTTCGCCCCCAAAGAGAACCCCGTCCGGCCCTCACGCGCAGAGATAAAAGAAAGAAGACGGCCTGAAGCAAGAGAGGCTTCCCCCCCCCCCGGAGACAGCTGAGACGCCACAGAGGCCAGGCCCAGCGCCCGCCCGCCCCCAAAAAGTGCTTTTGCTGCCGTCGTCGACTTTCCTTCCGCGTCTCTTCTCGTCCGCTTCTCTCTGACTGACTGACTGACTGACCATCATCCACCGACGAACGCCCGCCGATGCGACTCGCTGCCAGACACTCGACTCGACCGTGAAGCGAGGCCTCTGCCGTCAGCTCCCCTTTCTGCCCTCTCCGTCTAATCTGCCTCGTCCCGTCGTCTCTCTCGAGGTCCGCCGTCTTCCCCGGATCTGTCCTCCCGCCACCTCCAGGCGCGTCCGCCGGGAACCACCCAGCCGAAGAAACATCCAGAGAACAAGCAGAAGAAGGAGAAGAAGAAGAAGAAGCGATACTAGATACTAGATTAAGAAGCGATAGCGTGTTACTGTCTGGTCCGGCCAGTCTATGATGGCGCACTCGCAGTCACAGTCGCAGTCCCAGGCGCCGCAGACCAGCGCGCAGGAGGCTTCAGCTACATCTACGCCATCCCCAGCAGCCTCTGGCCTGGTGAACAGCAGCACTGCTGCTCACTCTCCTCCTTCAAAGAGAGACCTGGCCAGCTGGTGGAGGCAGTTCAAGCGCAGCACAAAGAAGGACGCAGGTACGTCTGTTTCTGTTTCACTGGCTTCTCTTCTGCTCTCTTACAGCCCTCTGTTAGTGCCTGTTAACTGACCTCTCTTGCGCTAGCCCCCCAAGCACCCCCTTCTGGCATCTTTGGCATCCCCCTGAACGTGAGCATCAAGTACGCCAATGTGGCCATCTCTCTCACTGGCGATGATGGCAAGAGCTTCATCTACGGCTATGTGCCTATAGTAGTGGCAAAGTGCGGGGTCTTCTTGAAGGAGAAAGGTGAGATTGGCATCCGTTGCTTTTTCTTCCTACTCATCTTGATATTTGATATCATTTCTTGATATGACTGTGATAATACCTATGATTGATATACTAACTGGGTGTAGCCACCGATGTCGAAGGCATCTTCCGGCTGAGCGGCTCTGCAAAGCGCATCAAGGACCTCCAGGAGATATTCAACTCCCCAGACCGCTTTGGAAAGGGACTCGACTGGACCGGCTACACCGTCCACGACGCCGCCAACATCCTGCGCCGCTACCTCAACCAGCTGCCAGAGCCCATTGTGCCCCTGGAGTTCTACGAGCGCTTCAGAGAACCGCTGAGACATCGTCAGGGGCGTCCGGACGGGGAAGAGGCTGCCATCCAGGTCGACCAGGAACATGGTTTCGACAGGGAGGCTGCCGTCATTGCCTACCAGCAGCTCATCAAGGAGCTCCCGCCGCTCAACAGACAGCTGCTGCTCTACATCCTCGACCTCCTGACCGTCTTTGCCTCCAAGTCCGACCTCAACCGCATGACCGCCGCAAACTTGGCCGCCATCTTCCAGCCCGGAATGCTCTCTCACCCTTCCCATGACATGTCCCCCCAGGACTACAAGCTCAGCCAGGATGTGCTTGTATTTTTGATTGAGAACCAAGACAACTTCCTGTTCGGCATGACGGGCACCGCAGCCGATGCCCAGACCGTCCAGAACATCCAGGGCGGCATGTACCCTCCTCCCTTGCAGAAGACTACCATCAGACGCTCTGCCTCCAACGCCAGCGGAGGTGCAGACAGCCTCAGAAAGTACGAGGCCCTCCGACGGAACATGTCTGTCTCCTCGAGGAACTCCAATGGCAACGTTACCGGCCCCAGCACCCCCAATTCCAACTCAAAGGGCGGCGGACTGCAGCGTAGCAACACCGTGCCTTCAAAGAGAGCTCCCGGCTTCTCGCCTTCCAGCACATTCGCTCGACAGCAGGCTGCCACTCCGCCTGCAGCTGGTCTCTCTGCACCACCACAGCTCCAGATGACACCCGTTGTCAAGGGTTCCCCAGCACAGGACATCACCAAGGTAGCTGAGCATCCAGAACCGACTACTACCACTACTGAACAGCCTGAAAATGGTGCTCCTTCGACTGCTGAAGTTGTGGAGACAGCTCCCGCTACTGAAGCTGCTGCTCAGATCTCCCTGCCTGTTCGGAACATTGAGGCTGCTCTCCCCGAAGAGCCTGCTAAGACCACAACTGAGCCTGCTCAAGCACAGCCCGTGGAATCTACCAAGTCTGACCACCCAGCCGAGCCAGCACGCGCTCCACAGCTTGCTGAACCATTTGAATTCACCAAACCACCCGAGCCAGCTCCCTCTCCAGCACCAGCTCCCGCACCAGCTTCGGCACCAGCTCCGGCTCCGGCTTCTACTCCTCCTGGTCCAGATTCTACAACGCAGCCAGCTACGGCCGGCCAACCTGCTCCTGTCGAGCAATCCCAGCCCGCTCAATCTAGCTCTACAGCTCATCCTATCCCAAAAGCCCAACGGCCAAACCACATTGACGCACCTCCTCCACCACAGCTGGACCCGGCAACACACAAGCCAACCACCATCACCCCAACCAGAGAACGCAAGCTAGCCTCTCTGTTCTCCTGGACCAGTCCCCCCAGCGGCGAGAGGAGAGACGCCAACAAGCTCAAGAAGAAAAGACGCATCCCCGGAAGCGCCAGTGAAAGCGCCCAGAGCTCTACCGCCTCCCTCCCCCATGGCTCCCAGACTGGCTCCGACGAGGCAACCCCCACGAAACAACAGCAGCAGCCATCAACCTCTCAGCCAACAACTTCTTCCAACCCAGAAGACTCCACCGTCGCAGATGAATCCCACGTCTCTACACCCAAAGTCTCCAATCCGCCCCTCTCCCCTCTCGTACCAGTGCGTAGCGCCTCTACGACTCAAAGCCACACCAGCCTGGAAGTCAACTCGCCTCCTCACCACCACACCTCTCTCACCGACCGCATGCTGAGACCTCGTTCCCGCACTCCTTCTCCAAACTCCCACTCCCTCTCTGCAACGGACCAGTCTGACCTCGAAGAGTCGTCTAGAGGTGACAAAAAGGACAAGCGACGAAGCTGGCGTTTCCACCTCGGCAAGAAATCAGATGATTAACGGATTCTCTTTTCTTCGGCTTTTTCTCTCCTTTTTTACTCTTTACTTTTTCTTTGGTTTCGTCTTCTTTCACTTAATTTGCACCCTACGGCACGGCGAACCGGTTTAGCATATCGTTCAATGATGGAGTATCTTTCAATTGGTCGTTAACGGCGGTCGGATCGGATCCTTTTCACTCTTCCTTCCTTCAATAATCTACCCTGGCCCGAGAAGTCTTCTATGGCCACCGTTGACTCTTCTTTTTCCATTCCTTTCCTTTCCTTTTCCTACCTTTCTTTTGTTGGTCTCTTCACTCTACCCTGTTTTTCTTTGCTTTCCTTTTTCTACTTTTCTACTTTTTGTTACCTCCCTTTCATACGCGTCTATTTGATCTTTCGATTTTGCCTTACATCACTTCACCTTCTTGCTTCATGTCAGATTCCCAATTCCCATTCTTGCTTGCCTGGCCTGGCCTTTAAATATTTCTTCCCCCCTTTTTTTTTGACCCTTTGATTCTACCCTGTTTTATTTCTTGCTTTTCCCCCCTGGCTAGAGCTGAAGACACTTTTGTTCTCGTGCCACTGCGTCGTATATCTTAGTGATAATATTTTTTAAATAGTCACATACCCGATTAAATACTTTGATAATTGAGATGTACTAATGTTTAAATCTCGACTTGACTCGTAATCTTTCGACTTGAACCCTCTCTCAAACGTCAAAAGCTGGGCTTTATCAAAATCGTACCTCTGCTACACCATATATACCAACTTGGTTGCCATTTAACGTAGAGCGATGCAGATGTTTCAAAGCTCGTTTCTCCCGGCATGGACGGCTATTCAGTCAATATCAGACATCTTCGGCTTCCACTCCCCAGCCGTCTCTCGATTCAACCCAACCGAAGCCACTATCCAATCTGTCCACAAAGCTCTATTCGCAAATATATCCAACCCAGAGACTCGACTGACATGCCGCGAGGTAGTAACGGCGTTTCTCACCCAGATAGATACATATAACCCCCGTATAAACGCCATAATAAGCCTAGATGCAAACTCCCTTGCTGTCGCGGACGACCTGGACGCATGGCTTCAAGATTCCCTAGAGGATGATGATGGCTCTTATACCCCCGACAATACCAGCAGCAACAGCTGGAGCGATATAACGTCCCTCATGCCACTATACTGCATCCCCGTGCTATTAAAAGATAACTTCGACACAGCCAACCAGTCCACCACCGCAGGATGCGCAGCGTTATCCGGCTCCCCGCCGCCCGTACACGATGCTCCCGTCGTCAAGGCCCTACGTGAGGCCGGTGCAGTGATACTCGGCAAGACAAACATGCATGAAATGGCCCTTGAGGGCCTCACAGTGTCATCTCTCGGCGGCCAGACGCTGAATCCCTACGATACCACCAGGACGCCCGGCGGTAGCTCAGGCGGTACCGGAGCAGCAGTGGCGTCTTCGTTTGCGGTGTTTGGCCTGGGTACGGACACCGTGAACTCGCTGCGTAGTCCGGCGAGCGCAAATGGCTTGTTTAGTCTACGGCCTACGCGTGGTTTGATTTCGAGGGCTGGTGTGCTTCCCGTCTCGTATACGCAGGATACCGTTGGGCCGATTGCGAGGTGCGTGTGGGATTTAGCTGTGAGCTTGAACGTTATGACGGCGGGTGAGTGGTTTGACGAAAGGGATAATATGACTGCTTTGCGACCGCGGCATGTTAGGGGTTTGGATTATACTGCTTCCCTATCTAGGTACCAGGGGGAGAATGGTGGTGAAAGTCTGCTGGGTGTCAAGTTCGGGTTGATAGAGGGATTCATGAACCGCGCTGATAACTCTGAGACAACGCCCGTCAACAAAGCTATGGATGCGATGGTGTGTAGGCTTAAGAAGGCCGGCGCGATTGTGATACCCGTTACTGACTCGATGTATAATTCCACTGCGATATTGGGCTTGGATGTTCAAGCGTATGAGTACCGTGAGATGGTGGACGCTTATCTCCAGGGTCTACACGGGGAAGAATCAAGAAGCCCACGGACAATGGCAGACTTGTACTCTGAAATAGATAACGAGCAAGACTCGTTCCTGGTTATCCCACACCAGTACGCCTTCGTTCAGTCTGCACTCGTCTCATCTCCCCTGAACGTCTCATATGCTCAAAAGCAACTTGCTATCAACGCCCTGACACTGTCGGTCAAACGGACGTTCTCATCCCTCAATCTCGATGCATTGATATACCCCCAGCAACAGAATTTGCCTGTTAAGATAGGCTCGCGGAACCAATATGGTAGAAATGGAATACTTGCAGCTTTGACGGGGAACCCTGTCGTCACTGTACCTGCTGGGTATTCGAATAGGGATATCTTCCGGAATATACCATCTGGGGTACCGATTGGTATGGAAATCATGGGTTTGCCATGGGAAGAAGAGAGACTTTTAAGCATTGCTGCGAGAATCGAAGCGTTGGAAAAAATCAGAAGGCCTCCCGTGCTTAAGGCAAAGACTAGGAACGCTGATGCTGGAAAATGGATAGAGAGTGTCCCGAAAGTAGTTCCTGATAGGAAGAATATTCATAACATGTATCCCTTAGGGGTATATAGGGTAAATTGATATAGTAATATAGTAATATTGCATATCAGCTCTCATCACTCCTCTTGATATCCGATGTTAGCGATGCATCATTTGATCACTTTGCAAATTGCTATTCTTTGATCCGTAGAACACCAGCCAAACATCAGTATGACACGAGAATACATCAGTCTCGCCTCCAGTAGTCGAAAAGAAATCAATATCTCATTAGAATCATTTTCATGGTCTGTCAGTATATCCGAAACATCACATCCGAGAAGCTGCTGCATTGCTTCCATCGACCATAGCAAAGGAGAAGTTCCCTTTCTCTTCATATGAGCAGACCTTGTCATTTGTCCAGCTACGCTGAGGCGAATATCTGTTCCAGTGGTAGGATTGAACATGGGAGGGAAGCATGATATCATCCCCGTTTCGTCAACGATTGAGCCAACCTAGGGGATGAGAGATTAGCAGATGCAGTGGGGTATCACTACTTGGTTCCAACGGAATCAAGTCTTCATATAACTAGTTAGGGATTCGTATCCACAGTTTCATCGAGATACTAAATGATACCATCGTTAATCCAAAAGTTTTGTGAACAACTCACTATCTGCGGGTTAAGTCTCAGCTTGACTTCTAATTCACACTGCCCACACAAAGCCTCGTTAGAGTTGGAGAAAATGGGAACATTGCAGCTGTAACAGTAACAAGGTCAGAAGCCTGCCAATCTGGGAATATCATGTCCATATAAAGCCCTGGAAGCTCACCATTCGGCACAGAACAGGCAATTTTGCTTGTAGAGGGCAGCCAAGTTAATATCAAGTAGCACTACTGATATATATCCCATGAATTCTCAAGGAGGGTTAGCTTGTGTTTGTCCTAGAATATTCACCTATCACATACCACTTCGTGTGGAATTGGCGCTAGAAGTGAACTGTTAGTAAAACAACATGCATCCATCATAGAATGAGGAAAGGTAAGCATACAATTCCTCAATATCCGCAAGAGTGAATTTGATTTTCTGGACTGAACTTTCAAACTCCTCAACATTGAATACTATTAAGTGTAAATATTAGTGTACCCGTCCCGCACGTTGAACCTAGGATCTCAATCCGAACTTACAGTCAGTGGGAAACGGGGGATTGACTTGCTCGGCTCTCCGTGCAGCAAGTCTTTTCAGTTCCTCTGCCTCGACGCTTTCGGGATCAACGTCAACTAGAGTAAAGGAGGTTAGGTACAACCGCGATCCAGGCTTCCAGCTCGCATTGGATATCAAAAGGACCGTGGAGTTGGGTATCCATTTCACCCCCGATTTCATAGCTTCTCCATAAAGGCCAAGGCTGGCTCTACTGTGTCCATCTGTAACTCCTACATCAACGGTAGGAACGGTCTGGTTACTTGAATTGGTTGCTGGAACATAATGCTGTGTTAGAGCACGCGTTGACCTGCATGAAGGAACGAAACGGACGTACTCTCACGGACAGGTCCAACTGCATAAACGTATACTAGGACTTTCGTTGGTTTGCCCATTGAGTGCTTCTTTGGAGCATCAACAAGTGAATCCACTTGAAATGGATATCTGTACCCCATTGGGATACGGCCTATGATGCCAATATCACCTCGTTCGTGTATTTTGATACCACATCCTTGGTCTTTCTCCGGGAAGATACTGGCCATCAAACTCAGTGGGAAGTTCTCTGGAGGTGTAGACGGGGGAGTCGCTGGTTTTGAGAGAGTAGAAGATAAATCGGCCTTTACGTGTCCTTTTAACTGGGGTTTAAATGGGGAGATATGTGTTACCCATATGGAGACGAGCTTCCCCAGTCGAAGGTCATAGGTAGTATCAGCATACCACAGCTTGACCTACAGGTGCATAAAAGGTCAGTAGATAGTAATCCAATTTTCTGATGGCAGTCATACAAGGATATAACCTGTATCATCTCTGAGAATAAGTTTCAAGCATCCCCTAGCCTGTTGACTTGCTATTGGATCACTGTCCGATTTTGAAGGTTTCTTCTTCTTTTTACTTGACTTGCTGATGCTTTCTGCATTATCATCAAAGTATATATTGGGCTGATTGTATATATTCACAATTCTTGCATCAAATGCGACTCTATTAGGTCCCTTTTTGAGGTCACCCAGAGAAGATACGGCATCGTATGGCCGTGATGACCTCTTCGAACTGATGCTCTCGTCTTGGTCTGGGGTATCGTGCTTCCTCTTAGACCCAGCACCAGTAACACAGAAGTAATCAGGTATCTTTGAGTTAGCCATGGAGACTTTCTCTCTCTCTCTGTGCAAGTGAAGATGATGTCGTTTCTTGAAGCTGAAGTTGAAGTCGAGAAGAAAAAGCCCCTCATCGGTTGATTACCATTTTAGGACGGATCACATAAGCAAAAGAAAGAGAAGGATAAAAAAGGGTCAATATGAAGATAATTTCAATTTAATTAGCTGGATGTTGAATTCCAGCATAAGATGGCTGTTGGGCCTGCTGAAAGGAGTGGAGAGCGGACGTAGCTAACAGTTACTACTAACTAACATAGCACAAGAATAACCCCGAGAGACATTAACCACCTCTTCACCATCTATTGGGACAACGTTGTTATCTCAAAATGGGAACGTAATCATATACGAATGATGATGGTATCAATTAATAACAGCTACTTAGCATAGCTTGTGCTCGAGAGTCATGTCAGACTCTGGCTGGAGACCAACACAGGCACGGAAGATGTTTGTGACGGCAGCACGCTGCTTAGCTAGAGCGTTGACAACAGGGGTTCCTGGGGGAGTCAATGGGGCCTATGAAGCGTTAGTTGGACCCTGATAAGACAAGAGGGAAAGTATTGAAGACCCACCTTCAACATGTAGCTGAGGATGCTAAGGACGCTGTGGAAGCCCTTATATTCCTCACTCTCGGCAGACTTCCAGCTAACACGGGTCATCATCTCCGCGATAACAACGAGATCGATGATCAGAGGGGAAGCAAGGAGGGAGTCTTCACAGACGTTGAAGATGCTGATGGTCTGGTGGCCACCCATGAAGATCTCGGCGTAGTACTCGTCGAGGGCACGCTTGTTGTCACCGACAGCAGGCATGTACTTGATAACAACAGTGTGGTCTGGGTGCTCGCCCTTCTTGTACAGAACAGAGTTGGCGGCAACCATGTCGTCAACGACGTTGGACTTGGAGATCTCCTTGGATCGGAACTGCTTCTGGGAGCTCAGGTTCATGCCATCGTTGTTGCCGAGATGGTTGTAGCTGGCAATGGAGGTGAGCTTGATACCGGCACTGATCAAGAAGTCAACGAGGGCAGACTTCATCTTGGTCTGGCCGGACTGGAAGTCATCTCCACCGATGAAGGCACCCTTCTTCAGGGCAAGCTCCATGGCTCCAGGGACAAAGGTGTTCTGGGGAGAGCCGTTGATGAATGGAGCATTCTCAAGAATAGAAGCCACGGCGAAGATGGTTGATGGAGAGACTTCTTCGTGTCCTTCCTTGATAGCCTTGAGAAGGTTGTCAGCGGTATCATTGACACCTTCAATGACTTCTGCGTAACGCTCGGTGTTAGCAGTCCACATAACAAGAACCTTGTCGAGTTCATTGGCAGCCTTGAAGTCACTGTCTGTATGTTAGCACATCACCCAAGTCAGAGCATCTAAGTATAGGTAACCCACCGAATGTCCTGTTGGACCTTCTCAACATGCTCCCAGCAAGCCTTGGAGCCAGGAAGGACGTTATCGGCACGCTCCTCTTGGTTGGCAGCAATGAAGTCAGGGTAGTAGACACTTGGAAGTGGCTTGATGGCAGCCATCTCGTCATGGATCATGGCCTTGAGAGTGGGCTCAAGCACCTGTGCACGGTCCATGGCATCGGCAAGGTTCATACCGCTGATGTCCCAGCCGCCAATAACAAGGTCATTGGGATGGACCATGGGGAGCATGTTGTTGAAGGGGATATTGATTTCTTCTCCAGTCTTCGCATCGGTTCCGAGCTTGACAGTAGAGGCCATGATGAGGGAGCCGTAGTAGTTGGCAGAACGCTTTCCCTCACGAGTATCCCAAGTCAATCCACGACGGTTGGCAATGATACCAGCCGTGACGGTAGATCCGTTGTTTCCACCCAGGCCGATAAGCATGACACCGGTCTTGCTGACCTTGCGGTCGACCTTGAAGTCATAGACGGTTTCCTTGGGGGTTGCAACGAGTTTACCGTCCTCGGACTTGGTCACGGCAGTCGTACGGTAGACATACTTGGTGTTGATCTCGTCGTCGGTGTAGACAACATTGGGAGACTCGACCTTGAAGATATCAACCCCGTGCGTGGGGACCGACCCGTTAACAGAGCCATTGGCAGCTGCATCCGCATGTGGAGCCATTGTTCAGTCTGGTGATCTTTTTCTTGACTAAACCGAAGAATGGATTTATAGAGAATTGGCAGGATGAGGACTCTCCAAGTAAAGCCGAGCTGGTAGTGCTTCAATTGCTTTGCAGATGGCCTTTACTTGGTATGGGGAGCGTCCGATGCTCCTCCACGAGCGGATGAGCGTCGGCTTCCGTTAAACGGGTGGTGCGACCTGCAGACAAGAAGTTAGCCATTGGATTCAACGTATGTCAACACCGTCAAAAGACCCTTTCAAGGCCTTCTCCCCGGCTGTATATCTCGAGCAGCAGAGTCACTCACGATGGCAGCAAGTTGGAAAACGTCTTGGCGGTATTGACGGATCAGCTTCTAAAGAGAAGAAGTGATCGAGCGAGGGGCAAGCAAGAAACGTGAATTGACGTCTTCAGCAAGCCGAAGAGGTCTATACTGGGGGTTTGGAGGGTTTGCCGGTGAATCTGAAGCTGGTGCTGGAGTTGGTGAAGTCGATGAAGTTGTTGGTTGTGGTGAAAAGTGGGAGAGGCGGGAAAGGGGCGGGCGGTTTAGGCCCTATTTATCCTTTCTTAGTCCCAACGTCCGCCCTCTGCCCTCCATCGTCCATCGTCCTCCCGGCTGTTTAGAGAGAGCCCAAGGGAAAAGCAAAGAAACGAAAAGAGGATTCCCCACGTCGGAGAGATCAGGATGCGTTCTCTGGCCCTTGCTCCCTGCTCGAAAAAAGCTGTTATTAATTGTGACCTTAGCCTATGCCGTCTCGCGCTGCAGCCCGCTTTTCGCTCGTTCGTCTGCATCGATAACTTAACTATGGCCCACCGATGCAGCCATTGAACTGAATTTATGCCGCAGGCTTGTCGTTCTCCACGGTGACAGCCCGCATGCTAGCCCGTTATTCAATCTCCGGCTGCCGTAGCTTGCTTTCCTGTGTCCGTCAAAGGCCGACGTTGAGGGCTCACGAGAGCAGTGCCAGTGCCCCTCGTCTGCGGGTTGTTGGAGTTATCGATAGCGCACCGCGAGGGCTCAGGCCATTGGCCGGGGGCAGTTTAGTGGCTTGATATGCAGGCACTAATATTGGTCCAATGCCTGTCAAGCTCGCACATCCCTGATGGCACACCGACTGAAGGGTTCTTGTCGTCCTCGGTTGGTTCCCGTCTTTATTCTGCTGCCTGCTGGGGTGGGTTAACTCGTTACTAAGGAGTGGAAAAGTGGTTGTGGAGATGAGAATACCCGAAGGATTATTGTCATCTTCCAACCCTGCTGTTCACGCATAAATGGTTATGCAGGGAGACCGGGAATTCTCTGTTCATGTTCGTTGTCTCTTCCTGACATGCCGATATCGCCTTCATCTCCGGAGTAACAAACGGACACCTGCAGGAATAAAGCAGGCAGCAAGGCAGTGATGAGACTGGAGTCCGAAGATTTTCCCTTGATCTTCATTGCTTTGAGATACTTTCGACTGGCCTGATGAGCTGTTCCATGCAGGTATCCTTTCCTTCCTTCGATATCCAGAGCGATATTCTTGGACATTGCCTATTTTAACAGATCACCATTTTTTTTCAGTCGTGTCTGAGGGTGTACGACTTGAGTTTCTTCATTTCTGGGGCGTTTGTGACTTCCCCGGGATCAGCAGTCATTGCTCAAGAAGTGATCGTGAGGGTTCTGCCTAAACCAGGGGACCTACTTACATACATTAAATCACTCCAAAACGTCTTTCAGTGACTAATTGATGTCCCACAAGCCACTGGAAGACTTTCATATGGAATTTCATGTAACTGGAAATCAGTTACTCATACGATTAATGCAGAGTATATGAGTAATGATCGAGTAGAAGGGCCTATGCCCTTCTATTCAATTCATCAAGTGGCCATTTTTGATGTCCAGCCGCATAGTAATGATATTGTTGGGGAAGTCTCCTAACTTCACTGATTCTTTTATACCCTACTGTGTATCATATTCCCTCCACCTATTTGGTATCCTAAAGTGAACCAGCACTCTCTGACACAGAAAAACTCCCCAGTGACAGCAAATCTAGAATTATATATCTCCATGAAAACCTCTCTACTCCTGGATTGTTATTTTTGTTTCCCTTTCAATACAAGGCATACCGATGTCGCTTTCTTCGCTATAGCTCTCGATTCCCAGCACTAACGCAAAGATGGATGAGGGACTTAAAAAATTACTGGCGTCGCATATGTGGCGGACCAAGGCTATGGAAGACCTCCTTGAGTACCGCTTCAAGGACAAAACCATAGCTTTAAGTGCCTTGAATCTTCCTGGACGCCTTACTTCGATTAAAGATAACACCGGCCTCGCTCAAGTTGGAAAGGCTGTCATGGAGCTGTTCTTAATCACGGATGGTTATGATAAAGATATGGACCCGGGTAAATAATACATTTATCCTTATCAATTATAGATCTACATTCACATATATTGGCCGTTGGCTAATTACTTGACCATGTGTTCGTAACAGAAAACATTAATACTCTCCTGACTTTTGTCTTGGATAACAGCAAGCTTGCAGATATCGGGACAAAGAAGGGCCTTGGACGATGCATGATGGGTATGCGGTCAAGCACTGCCAACCTTACGCCCCTTTACACCGCCCGGACCGTCCAGGCATTGATGGGTGCCGTCTATCTCGACAGTGATGGAGATTTGGAGAAACTATACGAGGCGATGATGGCCATAGGACTACTCCCAAAACCAGGCGCTCAATTGCCCGTGTAACTTGATGCTCTGATCTCTTTACAATGACCCAACTAGACTGTTTGCATGAATTGATACGCTCTGTGAAAGGGATTCAATTGCTACATGGAGATTCTGCTAATCAAATTGGCTCAAGTTTTGATGAACGCAATGTTAAATTTGAATGTTCATAATAAACCCCTTTTTTCTGCCTTGCTATCCATTCCCATTTGCAGTACCCATGGAAACTGCATTAAGTTGGCTTCGGCTTCAACACCCAATGTTAGAACCACCAGAGGCATTCCGAGCTAGCAGATCCCAGAATTCTTTACCCCCTGTCCGATTTGTAACCCCTCGTGGACAACTGTCCCGCCGCTCCATTTTCATTTTCAGTTCTTCCTCATCCCAAGGCCCATAGGCGTTTTCCCTATCATACACGTCGAATTCCTCCTTTTTGGTGTCGTTAATCCGGGCTTTGGTGACAGAGCGAATTTCTGTTTTCCAGAATTTGGTTGCACCTTGCTTGAGTCTCGCATCATAAACATCGTAGAGGCGGGATAATACTACCAGGGAATATGCACAGTGGTCTATCATTTCGGTGCGTAGAGGGGTCTCCATATACTTCTCAATACAGCTCTCATCGACCTCAGGACGAAAGATATAATTTTTAAAGTCGTTGGACTCTTGCCAACGCAATGTTTCCTTGGCGCTTAGGGAGCTATCGTTGCAGATGCATGTTGCCAACCCCCTAAGGAATTCCTTTGAGCCATCTCTGGTTGCGAGCTCCATGAGCTGGATATCTACTATCCCATCGAGGGTGACCTCGCATTCGTGGAACAAATAGTCCGAGGCTCCACGAACGTCAAAGACGGCTTTGCGTAGAACCGGACATTCAAAGATTGACGCAAGTGTTGTTCCAGTTGAGTCTTCGGTAGAGAAGACGTCGTCCATGCCCTCGGCATGCATGTTAATGAGATAAATTTGTTCTCTGGTCGAACAAAGATAGAGATGATGGACAAGGATCCCTCACGGCTGACGTCTCTCCCCTTGAATTCAACAAACAGAGGAACAGGGTCCATGTCGAGTTCCCGGAGACCAGATAGAAAGTTTTTGAGCATGTTAACGGTGTTAATTACAGTCACACTGGGCATGACTACTTGATGTGCCATCTCTTCCGAGGCAGGTAGTGGTAACAAATGGGTAGTGGTAGTAGTAAAAGGAGATTTCGATTTGCTGTTGAAGCTCTCGGGTTGGCGGTAGAAATGATGGGCTTGATAAGTGACGGCAGGTTGATCGAAAACTAAATAAATGTCAGTATCAGAGTCAAGCCCGTGTTGGCGTAGGTTCCTTGACTAGGGGAAGAGAGAATGATACCAGATAAAGTCCTAGGAGGCAGGCGAACGGTCCTGAATATCAAGTTTGTTTCTTTTCAAATTGATATAGGCTTTTATCTGGGAGTCTGAAGTTTTCATATAGCAAGGTTGTTATAAGTGTTTGCTTGTAACAACAGGCTCTAAAGTTCTCGGAATATGATATTGACGGAAGATGAATGGTGAAGGTAGGAAGCTTAAGGCCGGAAGCTTGTATATCCGAAAAAAAATGTATAGGATTGATGTAACTGAGAGAGGTATCAGTCTATAAAAGTAAAAGGGGTATATGAGTATAAGTGAGGTAAAAGTGAAGTAGAATTGAACGAGGACGCTCAGTTGTTTTCTGATGACTCCTGCCTCGGCAATCTCATATTCTTTGAACAAAAATCCGAAACCTCCCTAAAGTATGAACTTGAATTTCAATCTTTTCTCATCCCTCTCACCCGGTGCTATATCAAGGGAAGCTAAATATATTCAAAGAAACAAAGTCATAAATCATGATATCAAACCATCACTCGTAAAGAAAACTGACTGGTCGACCGCTAGATAATGAAACTTTGTTGCTCGTTGTTATAAAACCAGCTCTTGCGAGTCGGCTGAGGTGTAGGGCATTCACCTCGAGCTTGAGTCGGGCTCACAATGATATTGTTGACGATACTTGCTTCTCCCTTTTGAATGGCCTCGATCTGGTTCTTAGCACACGACATTGCCATACCCCAGAAGTTGCATGTTGGAGGGACAGTTGGCAACGGGGGTTCAGCGTGAGTTGAATTGACCTCCCCCTGGGTAGAGTAAAACTCTATATCGTCCGTGACCGTTCCGGTAGCAATGTCCATATTGAACATTGCACGGCGGAAGATTTCATATCCGACTTGTGGTTGATAGGCAAGCATCATGTGTCCCGCTTGATATACACGGGTGAACGAGAAAAGGCCATGTTGGCGAACTTGGGCTTTAGGGACTCCAGAGTCATCGGTGTAGACATCTGCATACCCTGCCCTTCTGAAGTTTTTGGCATCCTTGTAGTCGACTGAAAGACTAACATTCTCGGCACCAACCCAGTTACATATGAAGTCACGGTCACCATATACCATGGCAACTTTCACCCCAGCATCTAGCAAATTGGCGATATCAAGTAAGTGTCCACCCCTGTCACTCCGAACGTAGTCACCAGTGACGTTGAAGACATGCTCAACTGTGTATGAGGGGTCCGTGTGGTTTGCTGGTACACCCAGTGCCTCCTGTACCTCAGTCTTCGCTAGATATCCCAAGAAGCTGTTGGAAGGGAAAGGATCTAGATGGCACTGAGCAATGTCGAAGAGGCCTCGTTTTGCCCCGTCAACGTATATGCCATCTACCTCCGTGTTGCAGTAGCTGTTTGCTCGCTCACATACGTGATTGACTTCGTCAACATGGCCGTATGCATTTGGGTCGTAACGTTTAGCGAGAGCATGACATTCTAATATCTGGTCAAGGCACCCTCCTCTCTTGCCATAGGCATGCATCGCCTTATCATATCCAGCATCATTGATTGCCTGGATACCATAGGTATTTTTGTTGTATGGGAAATCAATATTTGACTTCTGCTGAGATATCAGATCCACGCAGCCGTTTATTATCCCGACAGTGTCAAGGTGAAGAACAGAACCGGTCAGGAGGCCAGCTTTGATACGGTTGTTCTGTTGCAAAAAGTATGCCATGAAACCCGGGGCATAACGGCCTCCGTATGACTCGCTCCAGAGGGAAATCTTGTCATTCTCTCGATTATCAGTGTAAGGAGAGAAATCCTGGGACCACACCTGGACGATATTCCACATGTGTCTGGCAGCGTTGAGAGTAGTATTTGCAGTTTTACTAGGATCACCGCTACCAAAGGTGCCAGCAAGGAGGGTGCCATCTTTACTTGGGTCATGATCCGGTCCTTCAGGAGATAGTATGTTGGTCTTGAAATCAAACGTAGCGTTGGTGAGCACGTCGTAACTAAATCCTGTCTGCACTGGCTGATCGATATACAGGAGGTTGGCTTCCTTGTTCCAGAAATGCTCATTCAGGACAGTTGACTGAGCATCTTCGCTCATGCGGCATGGCCCACTCTCAACGAATACTCCAACCATAAAACCTGCCCCTGGTCCGCCATTGATATATATAGCCAAGGGATCAGTCTCTGGTTTTACTTGAGACTCAAAGTACCAGAAGTATATATGAACTGGAAAGTCTTGTGGAGCCTCACGCATAGAGTTGGGAGGGAAGTTGATATACCCGGAGTACGACCTAACGTTGCCACAGACTCCTTTCTATAACACATTAACACCGATACTATATATGGAAGAGGGGAGGCCTTCGAGACATATGAACATCGGTATGTCAACTTACAGGGACCTCCTTGTAGGTGATAGTTGCCCCGGGTAGAGCTTTAGACTCGATTGTTATCAGATTCTTTGGCTTATGGGGGTACCCGGCCGCAACAGGCGGTGCCAGTAGCAGAACATCGAGAAGCCATGTAATCAACATTTCTCTTGTAGCAAGCCAGAAAAGGAAGAGCAAAATAAATCTCGATAAAGAGCTGAATACCGAAACGATTTTCTTTGTTAGGCAGACATGGTATAAGGGGTGAATAGATGTCGAGAGAGCAATCCCCAAGCGGGTCGCTTGTCGCATGACAATAGTCCATTTTATATGCAATACCACAAGACCCGTAAGCGTGGCAAGGTATGGTTATTATGTCGTATAGGCGCCTAGAGATATGGTAGTTATCAAGGACCCAGTATAATCAAGTGCCGAAGGGGTGGAGATGACAAGTTCACAAGGCATATATTTAGTTTGTAGCGTTTTGACAATATCAAAGTACCTCGTCGATCGGCTTAGGGGCAACGGTGAGGTGAAGATAAGATGTATGATATCACCTGCCGCTAGCCACGAGGAACATCGTGATAAACGAGGATGATACCCATTTGGGTTTAACTCACAGAAGCCTTTGCCCGCGACGACATGTCAGACGACCGATTTCGGCCATGACCGCCGACTATCAGCCAGTCGTTTTCTTGATATTCAAAAGTTAGTGATCTAGCCTGATGTCATGCGATAGTTGAGTCCTTGGAATGAAATGCTTAGAGCAGTGGCGTCTTGTCTCAACAATGTCACTGATCGGGGGGCCAAAATACGGCGAGGTACGTGGCTGGTACACGCCTGCTAACAGGAACATTTTCCAGTTTGCGGTAATTAAGGCCTCAACAGTTTTGGTGCAACAAGTTGCCTGGTTATTCTTGGTGAAACCTTGATACTGGATGTCTCGTTGGAGAGAGCGTATCATAAATATTCTTTAACCGAATATAACACTTTGCTTTAGCCAGAGAGAAACCAGTGATCTCTTAACGCACGAGGTACGTAGTGCAGGAAATGTGTAATTTCGGGGTATGCAGGGTCGGCCCCAAATGAAGGCTAGATGCAGCCGAGATTCTAATTAATGTTAGACAGGCAATTTATATCTGTATACTCTGTAAATCACGACATCCGAAGCTTGGTATATAAATATACCAACAGGCGGTTTCATGCAGGCTTGCAGAGGAGATGTATCGGATGAGCTTAAGGGGTCCAGAAAAGAGACAGAGGGACTGCTTGTCTTGTGCTGTTGCACAGTTAAAACTTTCGACTCGTTAAATGACTTGCGATCATCATGTGTCCAACTTAAAATAATATCCTCGGACGACATCGTAGACTTAATTCCCTCCCGAATCCAGTCAGAAATTGGACATGAACGGCGGTGTGGCGTTCCAGATATCATTGTGAAAGGCGATCCCTTTTCTTGCCTTATCGCTTCGTAATGTCGAAACAACAGTGAGTAGCTTGGGAGCGACGGACACCTCCAAAACTCATGCCTGGACAAGTTTCACTTAGATATAGCACTCTCTACCTCGAACCAACCAGTATCCAACTCGGATCTCAAATTTTAACACGGTAGGCTTAAAAGGAAGCGAGACTTCCAAACCAATAATGCGGACAGGGTTTCCACTCTTCTCTAAAGTCTGCAGCGATATTACATATATCATAGGTTATAAGTTATGCTTGACCGCAAATCGTCTTCCTTAGCACATGATGAGCAGATACCCGATGAATGCAAGCATTGCACCGGTTAATATCCAGCCTCAGTTGCTATTGCGGGATTCAACAATGTTGCGCAGGCTACCACTTTCCGTGAGGCTCGCCGGGCCGGTGCTACAACACCCCATCTTGGCGTGCAGTCAAGGAAAGTTGGTTGTTCTGGTTGTTAAAAATCCGGATTGAGCATTGAGGAATCATTTTCTGATCGTCATGCTGGAAAGAGACCCTTCTAGCTCGTCGTCTTCAATATCAAAATTGATGTCGAGTCTTTGATAGAAGAAGTCATATATTCCCAAAAGGGAAAGGCGGCGGTGATGGCGGAACATAGTTATTCCGCAATATGGTAATACTCACGTGATGTCCAAAAACGGAAGTCCAGTTCTCTTGATGAACAAAAAAACGACGTCAGATCGAAATTTGAGTGGAAATTCCTCCAGAAGACCAGTCAAGGAACTGGCTTGGTGATAATGGGGGGTTTGCGGACGATTTCCGGTTAAT